AATTCTCTTAAAATGGGAGCTTCGGTGGCAAGGCCTCCTCAGGAAAAATGGGATACAACAATGTGGAGAAAAGCCTCCAGGTCTGCCCTCCCCACCCCAGCTGCTGGCTTCCCTCTCCAATCCCACCCAGCACCATGTTCCCAGCGACAGCTGGGAATATTAAAATAGATAGACATTAAGGCTTAAACCAAAAGTGAGATGTTTACATAGATGATAAAGTAAACATGGGGAGATTTACTAATAAATAAATGAATTAAAATTAAAATAGGAAAATAAAGAAAAAAATTGAAATCAAATAAAACAGAAATCTTGAAAATCCAAAGCCAAAGACTTCCTTAAAGGAAGAAGTGAGTCCAACAACCCTTCGGTGTCACCGGGAAAAGGAGTTGCAGGGGACAGAATCATTTTCTTTTTTTTTTTTTTTTTTCTAGAAGTTCCCATGTTCCAAGTGATTCGATCATCTTCGAGTCACTAGATTTCCAAAGTGATCATATTAGATCAAAACCAGGCCAAAGGAGATTGGTGCCAAAGTTTGTAAAATCTACCCCCTCCACCACCAGAATTCCTCCACAATGAAACAGCATATTCTGCCTCTTTCTCCACTCTCCTGCTTGGAATTTGTTTTAATCTCAACCTTAGGACATTATATCTTACTTGTTAAGATTTTTATAATATTGGTTGGTCAGTTTTCTCTTAGTTGTATTTCTGATGCATTATTTAGGAAAAAAAAAAGGCCGGCAAACAATGATGTTCCAAATGTTCAGATCCAACATGACGTCACGCTTAATTTTTCTTCCATTATTTATTTTTTATTCAAAATGTCCTTATAGTTGTTGGCTTAAATAAATATACAAGCCCTTTTTATTTTCTTTAGGCTTCAATTACTTACATAATTTATTATGTTAGCTTTTGTCATCACTGAGAATAACTTTTTATGTACAAAATAAGGAAAATATATGCTTTCGGTTTGGCTTGCCTGAGAGCCATTTATTGAGCAATCTGTCCCTGCATGACCTACAAGTGACTATGTAGACAAGGCTTACCTAGAACTCACAAGGATTCTGGTGGTTTTGACTCTGGAGTGCTGGGATTATAGGCATGACCACATGGAGCTCTGAACACTTTTGTGATAAAGCATTCTTTGAATCTCTACTGGAAGCTTTGTTACTAAATCTCTGTTAACAATGAAAGGTCTATGTCAGAGCCCAGTTGCTTCTCACAGCATGGAAACAAGAGTGAGGTAGTCTGTTACAACACTGCAACTTTTAAAAAAGAAAGTCAAGAAGACATCATCATAACTGATCTCAGACTTTGATTTATAGTATTTTATAACTGAAAACATACTATCAAGTCAATACATATACATGCCTTTATATTTCTGCACAAATAGACTAAATGGGCTCTTATTTTGTTTGGAACATTTTCTAGTAACTTATACATTCTAAACATACCACCAGTATCATGCCAGTCACTTTGCTGCCAACACATCACAAAGTAAAGTGCCATTAATTCATTTTTATGTGTATTTATTCAACAGTATCTTTGTGATATAAGATTTCCAATGAACATTTACCAAACGAGGGATGAGGGAATGAAAAATTCTACTAAAGTATGGTGCTCCACAAATGGCAGAGTATTAATAACTGCCTCAGAAAGTTTAAGTGTGGCTGATGCAGGAACAAATGTGTGCCTTTTATTCACGGCAAATCTTGAGAGATGAATAGCAGCCAAGTGTGATGTGTGATATTCACAGCAAGGCCTGCGAGATGAATAGCAGGCACGTGTGATGTGTGACTTATTCATGCTAGTAAGAGATTTATAGACTGGGTGTCTATTAACAGATTTGCGTTCTAACTCTGCATAGGCTGGTCTTTTGTCATGATTAGCTATGTTGTCACTGTATGTTAAATAATAGGTTGTCAAACCAAAATATGCAAGAAATATGAAGGCAGAAATCCCAAGTATTTCACATCCTTCTGGTTTAGCCAGCAATACATCTCCAATTGTACATAATACAAAATTTAGAGATGCACATGTATTCATGCAAAAAAAAAAAAGATTCCCTTTCTGAACATGAGACCTACTGTTATGGGATAAGCAGGTTTTCGATAAATCCTTGTGGTGAATTACTAATTTCTCATGTCTCCGAGTATGAACATGCTTGTGGAAAAATTCTTTAGTGAAGGATAATTTTTGCTTATTTGTTTTTTTTTATTTGTTTTCCTGGAAATTTCAGGAGCAAATTTCCCAGGGCTTAATTGTGTGAGGCAAACAATCTATACTACTTTTCAAACCAGAATGAAGGTAGGAGGAAGTTATATGATGTATTGTAATCTATTATGACTAGTATCCTCTATTATGACTAGTATCCATAGATGAAGAAGAGCTATGGACTCAAAAACATCTACAGAGGAAAAACAATGATAAGACACACAGAGTAGATGTCCCACAGAGTCAAAGTCAAGAGGCCCCAAAAGAAACCAACCCCATTGTCATCTTGATCACTGGTCCCTAATCTGCCTAACTGGCAGATTAAACTATGTGGCCTGCCATTCTTGCCCTTAAAATCCTAGGAGATTCTGCAAGTACGGAATGAAGTAATAGATGGTAGACACAGGAAAGACGTGGAAGAACAGGCAACAAAACTGATGAGAAACTTAGGAACAGGGAGAGGTGTTGGAGAGCGAAGGGGGTAGGACAAACACAGAAGACTAAACATGATCATTGAATAATGTATGTATACATGGAAATGCCACAATGAACTTCAATAATTTGTACAACTGGTAAGTCTAATGTAAAAAAATTAAACTGAAGATGAATATACTCAAACATTCAAGGGATTAGTGAGACCATATGCTTGAAAGGCTTTGAATCATCCTGCCCTTTTCTGTATATTCAGTTTTAGAACGGATGACTCATGCTGGCACACATTGGTTCTGTTAGATCTGATCCATCTTTGTGGTAAAACACCATCAAAGAAGTCGCCTTATTAGCTGATTCTTCTAATTCACCTCTCCTTCAGTGAACAAGGAGGTCAGATTTAATTGCCTGTCTGATGCCTTGCTTTATTTTGTATTGCTATTGCTATAATAAGATAAGTGGGACTAAGTAACTTGTAAAATAAGGAAGTGAATTCGGCCTATTATTCTGATGTCTGCGGACACAGACAACATGGCGCCAGTATCCCTGTGTATTGCATCACACTGTGGTAGAGAAAAAAAGGAACTAGTTATAGAAAAAAAAGGGGTTCAAGGGTAACCATTACTAAGAGATAGAGAAAAAGTTGGGTCAATGTTATTCATGACAAAGTACTCCTTAGGAAACATGTCCTCTCTTACTGAATTTGACACACTCTTGGGAGATAATGTTAATCCACTCACAGGGGTGGAACATTAATGATCTAATTGTCTTCCACTAGTCTCTGATTATTCAGAGCCATTACCTCAGTGTCAATGCAGTGAGGACTTTGACTCCAACATACGACAGTCTAGTGACAAAATATGCCACAAATCCTACCACTATTTTTTACACCATGACCTAATCATGTGGACTAATGTAACTTTAACCCTTGGACAGACACCTCTGAGGAGGATACACATATGCTTTCCCTTCTAGAGATTAGGTAATTTATATGCTCCTTGCCAGCATTCTCCTGGGCATAACAAATACAGGAAAGGTGTGTGAGGAACCATCCTTATTTTCCCTCATTTCCCACTGTGGTTTGGAGGGAGTAGAGATGAAATGAAAAATTTTAAATTGGGGTAAATTCAAATGGCAGAGTGTGGGTTATGTAAATGAAAAGGCTAACCCACATTGAAGTTCCATGCCCTAGGTATAGAAACATTGTCTTCTTTTTGCCCTAACAGAGGACGGAAAAACATCTATGATTGTTCACTCCTGCCACACCTGTATCTCTGTCCACAGCAGCCACACATCCTTTCCACGCACTCATGGTTGATAGGGAACCAAGACAAATTTGCTGTCATATTCTAATCCCACGACTAAAAGACACATTTCTCCAAGTCATCTTAATAAAACAACATGGGGATAAAGTTTTATAAGGCAATAGAGAGAAAAAAGTCAGAATTTTCCATGCTTTGTGATTCAGCATAATTAATTTAGTAACTGTGTCATATGAGAAGAGTAAATAAAGGAAAGGGAAGGGTTGTGGATACATATGGTCACTGAAGCATGTACAATTGCAAGGAAAAACAAATTACAACGGTATGCTGGAAATAAAAGCATGGTAGGAAATATCTTCTGAATGCTAATTTGATTCTTCTATTGAGCCTTAAAGTGGCAGTGTCTAGGAGTGCAGTGTTTATATCCCCTTGCTTGTATTTTTAGCAGTTATATAACCCGGCATCTCTGAAAACCAATTAAACACCTTCCTGAATCTACTGGGAATTTCCCTTAAGTGGTTCTCTTCCTGGGCTCCTGCAGGACAATCATTTCATTTACAACATCTTGCTGGAGAGCAATTCCTCATCACAGGTGTTTCCAGAAATGTATGAAATTAATAAGTGCAGCAGAGTCATAATAAAATGCAGCTTCCTCTGGACACAGGTGCAGCCTCTGGGGTTTGTTTCACAAAGAACACCAAGACTCTCTGTCTAAGATGAGCAGTTTGTGTCTCTTACTGAAGTTCTTACATTTGCAAAACAGGATTATTTCTGAGAAAACAATTGTTTCTGAGTGGCAGGATGCAAGCACAGATCTTATGTCATAAATACAGGCTTTGAGGGATAAATAATCTCTTCCATTATACCAGCAGAGCAGAAGTAAAATTTTGACTTATTAGGGAAAGCATAACCACATCTATTTCATTTCTATTGCTTCTTCCTCAATCAAGAACAAGATATGAGCCTTGATCCTTGCCATATCGATTTCTCCACTGTTCTGTCCTCATCCAGACATTGTATTGTCAAGGCTGGCTACAACCCTGTACCTCTGGTCATCAATGAGGGTCTACTCTTTAAACTATTGGTGCAGGGGCTTACCGACAGTGTTTATGGGATCCTGTCAGGGTCTCAATCACAAAGCACTCTCCATCGTTGAGGCAATATGCTAGGTCCTTGTCTCGGCAGGGTTTGAAGTGCTCCGATCGTTCTGTGGAGTATGTCGTGGTATCTGAAGAAGAGAGGAAAGAAGGAGATGTGGTTGACATGTTTTATCATACAGATCACTTATATCATTAGCGGGACAGATGAGTCCAGGACTATGCAAAGGCAATACCCATGGGGATTAAAAAGAGCACCGATCTTCAATGAAGCTAACCTGCTAGCTGAATTAGCCTACTGTATTCAATTGTCTTATACTCAGCCCTGTATCCTGGGATTCAACTGACCACAGACAAAAAATATTCAGGAAAACTGACTTAAGACTGGGCATAAAAAAAAGCTCATCTCTATTGTCAGCAACTCATAGGTGGAGCCCAGAGGACCATGAACTCAAGTAAAACTTGTGCTACATACAGAATTCAAAGATAGACTTAGTAGTATAGCATTGCCTTTTATTGGGAAAAAACAAAAATAACAAAAACAAAACCAACAACAAAAAGGCTAAAATAGCTAAAGCACTCTCAGCATTGCAAGGTCCTGGATTCACTCCCCAGCACTGCATACAAAATAAAATTGAAGCTGGGCATGGTGATGCATGCCATTAATCCCAGCACTATGGAGGCTGAGACAGGATGATCTCTGTGAATTCAAAGCCAGTCTGATCTACAAATCAAGTTCTAGGACAGCTAGGGTTGTTACAGAGACATGAAAATCCTCTAGATAGATAGATAGATAGATAGATAGATAGATAGATAGATAGATAGATAGATAGATAGATAATAGATAAACAGGTATATTGTATCTGTTCATCCTTTTTCTCCTCACCACTATTTTCTAGCATTCACTAAACAAGGGCCAATAGCACCTATTTAAACAATATTTGTATTATATTTTGTATCATAAATGCTGTACAATTATACAGGAAGGAGTGCATAGCAGATGTAAACACTGAATCATTATAGGCAAGGGTTTGAACATCCACTCAGAATCCAATGCATGTCTTGCGATCAATCTCCCAAATGATGTCCTCCAACTGCAGTTTGACAATGGAGTCACTCTGGGGCAGTGGTTCTCAGCCTTCCTAATGCTACCACCCTTGAATACAGTTCCTCATGTCGTGGTTACCTCAACCATAAAATTATTTCATTGCTATTTCATCACTAACTGTAATTTCCCTATTGTTATGAATTGTAAGACAAAGATCTGATATGCAGGGTATATGATAAAGCGACCACAAAGGGTTCATGACTCACAGGTTGAAAATCATTGTTCTAGGGCTACACAGCCTCCTCCATGTGAGCACACATAACACCAAGAACTGAATGAATGGTCATAAGTCAAACACAGCTCAGCAACTTCGGTTCATTTCACTTTTAACCAGCATACTATATGAAGCATGAATTTCATTCCCATTACTGCTGCCAAATGTTGTTAGACATTTGATGAGTATATATCCTGTCAGTTTTGGAGTGCTTTGCTTACAGCTATAATAGCCTAATAGATGTTAATTTTTCTTTCACATTCCCAATTCATTATGTAATTAAAATTTCAATGCTCCAAATTCTGGAAGACAGTCACATGTGAAGAATAATCATGAAAAATATTTAATGGTATACATAATTGTGATTTTCAACATTCATTTAAAACATGTACTTTTAAATCATAGTTTCTTATTTTTCTCATTGAGATACATGCATACCTGTATCTCAAATATTAAACAAGCCATAAAAACATCCTAACTGGAGGATGATCCTATTGCCTCATCTAGACTTCCCTTTAGTTGCAGAGTTTTATGCAACTGAAGTATTAACAATAATTCACTGCAACAGACAAGAAAATACATTTTTATAAGTAAAATATGGAGAAATTATTCAGCCTTTAATATGGTTAAATTTCTTCTTCATGGGTGTAGCTGTGTCACAGTGCTTCATGCTACAAGATTTCACTCACAATTCCACCCATTCTGTAATTCCATGACTTTTTGGTGGGCAAGTGCTGAGGCCTATTCAGAAATGGTACTCAGTAAAATATGGACAATAAATATGACCTCCCTAACATCACAAATCAATCAAATATCATGAAGGAAAGGTAAGATCATTAATGATCTCATTTCAGTGCTACTAATACTCAATGTATCTCTAAGAACAAGAAGAAATAGATATGATCTCACTTTCATGAGGTAAAATATTGGTAATTTCAATATTGGTGGATATATCAATATGATGACTTCAGAGTTTCACTCATAAGTTTTGCATAGATATTAAAAACAGGACTTTGAAGTCCCTTTAGATTACAATGGGAACTATTTTATGTTTTAAGGTAACTCCCTGTTAAGACTTCCCATAAGATAAAGGCTATGTAAAACAGATATGTTCTGTTTTCTAAATTTTCCCTAGGGTAAAGACCTGTTATTCAAAGCAATATGTACTATACAGCCTCACAGACTCCATCTTGCATTTTATGGAAAGTAGTTGACATGCAGGCACTCCAAGCAGAGAATTCAGTATAAAACACTGCACAGTTGATGGCTTTCCCAACTGCTGAAGTATGCTGTCAATTCAAGATCGGCTACTTAACTTCTCCTTTAATTTCTTATTATCCATTGATTGATATTCACTGATCATTTCTCTAAGAGCAGCTTTTCATTAACATAACCTACTGCAGAAAAAGTAAAATCCCCTTTTTATAATCAGTGGTTTTTAACAAGCTACAGACTCAGAGTGTAATACAATGACAAAGCAATTACAATCAATTAATTTCCATCTGACAATAGCAGTCTCCTGGGGTTCCCATACAATTCTACCAATTACATTGCTGTCACAGGGGGATCATCTGTTAGCACATTACAGAGGATCAGAAACCAGAGGAAGTGTCTCTGAAATAGACCTGGGTATAAGAAGCAAGGAATGCAGACTTGGAATGTACTTGAGACATCTATAGTTATGATACAATAAGAGTAAATAATTGAATCTACTTTTAAACCAAAGAAGCAACTACTAGACTTAAATATTTTACATTGATATGGATTTTTGTATATTGATGCAAATTTAAGTTTATTTTTGTTAGAACATACTTTACACACATTTTCAAGGTATTGTACCCATATAGCTCATTTTAAAATGTAATATAAACTTCTAGTTCTTGAAAGTTAACATTACCAACTACTTAGGCTAATAAGGAATGCAGATTAGTACTTAGTCACCTATTACAATTGAACTTGTAGTCATATTAGGTATGTTTTCAAAGTCAAGCACAGATATATTTTATATAGACAGGTCATCTTCAGATACTTCAAAGATCTTCAGAATATGGCATTTAAGATGTTTTAATAACATATGTTTTTGTTTTATATAAGACATGTCTTTTCCTGGAAGTACCAGTCTACTTCAGAGATGACGGGCATTAAAGAAACTCCAGAGAATTTACTTCCTTTGTGGAAAAAGTAAGCCATTGGGCAAGAAAATTTTCTTGCCTCAAATGCTAACAATATTGTAGAAGCAAGACACAAAAGAAAATAACTGCAAAACTGCACAGGAAAGCTAGGCTAGCCCTTCAAACTATTCTATTCTACAGAAAAGTCTGTCAGATATACTAGGCCAGTAGTTTGATGATAGATGACTCAACATTACAAAGGAACCTTGGGTGACTGTCCATGTACCCATCTCTATCTGTCATTTCCCATAATTTTTAGAAGTTGGTTGCTTGGACTTCCTGCTTATTCAGGTAATATTATTTTTTCTTCTGTCTCTGATGGAGTTTAAGATTTAATAGTTATAGTTTTCCTTGTTATCAAATTCAGAAAAGAAACTCTCTAAATAAATGTTTAAAGTTGAGAGACTTAGTAATGCAAGTTAGAATAGATAGTGAATTAGGTACAAACTTTTGGATTCACCAATATAAAATAGATATGGAGTCTTTTCTCTGCATTTGTCAATTGTTAATGAATTAGACATTGTTGACATATTTATTGCCTTATTTATTGTATATAGTTACTGTACCTTTTGCATATAGTTTTTTATGCTACATATACCAATAGTTTGAAGAATCACAGAATTAATTTCAAATACTTTAACTGATTTCCAAATGAACATTTTGACAATTTTGTAAATCTCCATGTGATGGACCATGAGAGAGTGCTGGATTTGATACTTCTTTAAGTAAATAAACTGAAATTATCAATAAGTTTAAAATCTCAGCATTTACCCAAGCATTTTGCTTTGATATCTACATTGTACTACTCACTACAAAGCAAAGGACTTGTGGACACAGTTAAGACTTACGCCTCATGAAGTACAAGTTTTTTCATAAAGTAATCTTTCCAAAATTGAAGATTGACAGGTCTCAAAATCATACTGCTATGTGAACTTGAAAAACCAACTAACATCATATGTAAAATAAGTAGCATACAGAATACTAAAGTAACCATTAGTGATACTTTCTATAATTTATAATCAAATGTAGCCTAGGAATAAACAGTAGGCACTGTGGATAATACCCACTAAAATTGATAAATTTGTTTATAAGTATATATACTTATCTGTTTGTATGCGTTTAATATTTAACATAAAATCACTACAAAATTCATCATATAGAACATAAATTAAACTATCATATGGCATTTATTATGTTGTTTCTGTGCCCCAAGGTAGAAAGACAGTTGAGGTGGATCTTCAGTTCTTTAAAGTTAAATGCTTGGGCTACATCAGAGATCAGAAATCATAGTCTTATCTATCAACTCAGCTAATACATTTGAGACATATTTATGGTTTTGAAAATTGCAGCACCATTAAGATAATCCAATACGCTAAACTGACTATAAAGTGTGTGCTATAATTTTGGCATGTCCTTAATTGAATTTATTTTTAGAAACATGTCTTAACAAAATACGTGACTTTTATCAAAAATAAATGCAATATTTATTTGTGTAATTTCATTATATAGATGAAAGACTTGGCAAATCAATACTACCATGAATCCCATTGTTCTTTAAAAGCTTTCATAGGGTCATACTCAGTAAAAATTCATTATTAGATACCCCTCTCTCTCTCTCCCTGCCATGTATATCATATA